GACGAGGTGCAGCCAGTTGATGCAGGAGCCGGACGATTTCTCAAGGTGGAAGTCGGGAGGCAGATGGACATATGGCTCGAGCAGTCGGACAACCTCGAGAGGTGGGAAACCGCGTCGCTGACAGCTTCTGATCGGCGCGTCCTGATCACTCAGTGGATGGGAGCGGCCATGGCAAGACTCAACAGCCAACAGGCGTACCGATACCGTCTTTTCGAAAAGTGCGGGATGGCCATGACCGTGGCCGGCTCGGGCGATGATCGAATCACCTTGGAGGGTTTGGAAAAGCCGTATACCTTCGCTAACGATGAAGGCAGTAGCGACAACGAACAAGGTTCGGAGAACGGCAACGATGAGCCTGAGGGGCGGGCGGAGGAGGGTGATGGAGGACGTGAGACGCTCATGGAGGGCGTTGACTCCAGCGATGACGATGACGGCGGCAAGTTTGTTTTGCACAAAGCCAACTCTTCATCTTCTTTTTGTTGATGACGATGTCCTTCATGTTGACGTTAGCTTGTTTCCGCGCACGGCTACACTCAAATTATGATAAGTTCAGGTTGAGTTTGGCGACGTGACACCCTAACTTCTTGTGTTTCCCGTTGCCTCGTTCGCAGACATCTCTCAACCCCAGACCGACGAGCTAGCTCTTCTGGACGACGACGACAGCACGGACCCACAAGACCCGGAGGATGAGATACAGGGAGTGGAGATCCCGGCAGGCTTTCGTATTCAAGAAGCTAAACCCGTTGCTCTTGACAGATTGCTTTTCCGGCGTGGAGTGCTCGTTAGGCTGGGCATGGGGTGGTTTGGAGGGCTGGTCACTCAACAATCTCAGAAGGAAACTCGCCACCTGTACGACTACTGTGTGCAGCTGGAGCTAGACCAGAGTACGCGCAAGATGAAGTTGTCCTTAGACAAGTACAGCGGAGATTCGGATGCGACTGTAGGCTCCTGTTTTTTTGTTACTTTCTTAATATCACACAACAAATCCATCTCTATCTATAGAAATAAGTCTAAGATAGATTAGCAATGAATCCATAGCGTGAGCGAAAGATACCTGTATGTCTACGGTTTCCCAGACAGCATACAGCGATATCTCCCCTGTGGGTAGCAGGCTCAACAAGGCAGTTTGGTAGCCATCTTGTGTATCTATCTCCATGTTATGTTGGGAAGTTGTAGACGGAAGATTTAGGGGAACTCGGTTTGTCGGGTAATCTGATATGGCGCCCTTATGTGGTTGCGGAGCAAGCGCGTCTCGGGGTGTGTATATTTTCGTCATCAACTTATTTTTTGTGTGTGATATATGGGAGCATGTGCGGGACGGTGTTGTGTAATTGCATCATTAAATGTGCGAAGGGCACGGCAGAACATTATCGCATCATTTCCTTCTGACGTGGCCGCCGATAGACTCGAGAGGCGTGTGGTTGAGGTTTCATCACCGACATGTGGGTATGTGTTAAATGCAGTGGGTATGGTCACCTCTCTCGCCCGTGTGTCTGCAGAAAGTATGGCTACATTTCCCATTCGTAGACAGCGCGGACCATAAGTAAAGACAGAGTGTATCATTTCATGCATCTACATCAGTTGTATGTGGAAACGGAGGAATGAGAGGTTGTTCAATTTTGACGGTGTGTGTTTGGGTAGGGGGAGTACTCCCTGTGTCCGTGTTGTTCCCAGATGTTGTCGCATCAAGTGGCAGCATGTGTCATGGACAGGTAGACGTGGAAGGGCAGCGACGGGTGAACGGCAGCAGCAGTGTGTTGTGCATNAAGAACAAGAACGCCCCGTTCTGGAGAAGAATGGACGGCGAAATAAGAACTTGGCAAATAAGAACTGGTGCTCGGGTCGGGGCAGCCAATAAGAACTGAGCCTCGCCCAATATAGGCGGGCCGGCACTGTATTATCGCTGTTTAATCTGAGGTCCCACGGCATCCACTGCTTGCTGCTGCTGCATTGCTGTGAACGAACGACCCATTGCGTACATAACAACGTGCCATAAATCTCCGGTGTTGATGTGTCTAGTCTATACATGCATTCCAGACGAAAGCGGCACCATGATGCTTCTGTGCCTGATGCTTCCGTGGACATATCTGAGCTGCGTCATGTATTATTTGTGCGCAGCTCAAGTGATCACGTGAGGTATTGAGAGGTATTCATCCACCGCCGCCCGCCTGGCCCTCTCTCTCCTCCCTCTCCGATAGATACGAAACGAAAACCGAGAGAGTTCCGCCGTCGGCAGTGAGTTGCAGGGGAACGCCTACGCGGGATTTTAAGAGATTTTCAGATCATCTAGAAAAAGAACAGGGAGGGGGCACGCAGACCCTATCCCTAACCCTAACCCTAACCCCAAAGCACGGATTGAATACTTTATCCCATATGTTTGCTTAATCGACATTGCTGCGTAGACTAACGGTTGCAGGAGGAGTCTTGCAGGCGAGAGATCCACTTCAAACGAGAGTTCCGCCGCGTTAGCCGCGTTAGGTCCGCCTCCGCCCACCGTCGGAAGCGTCGGAACTCGAGTGCGGGGTGTTGGTGACGTGTGTTCGTGAGCGTGGTCTGCTGGTGGTCTGTTGGTCGAACAGCCCATCCATTTTCGGGTAGGCGGGAGTAAGATCGGGTACCCCTCCGGGAGGTGAGTAGCCAAGATCAGGTGCACCCGGTGGGAATAGGGTCAGGGCCGGGCCGGGTAGGGGCGGGCGTCGGCCAATCAGATGGTGCCAGGAGGGCGCTGCCGACTGTGTGAAACGAGATACCCGATAATGGCCGGATTGGGGCCGGGTGTACCCGATGTTGGCCACTCGTCGTATTTTTTAATTGCCCTCGTATTTTTTAATTGCTCCGCGCAACCGGAGCTCTCGTTTGAGCACCACAGCGTCGCACGCCAAGCATTCCACCCCGAGATACAGCTGAGGGAGCCACCACAGCTCCCTCTGCTAGCCTCCTTCGTCATTTCCTTGGGATTCTTGATAAGCATGACCCGGCGCAAGGTGGACGAGGAGCAGGTTCGGAAGGCCTGTGCCGCGATAGATGATGGCATGTCGGTTAGGAAGGCTGCTGAGTGAGGTCTTGGAATAGGTCGTACGTCCATTGAAGACCGCCGCCGCGGCAAGGTGGCCATGAACGCGAAGGTTGGTCCCGAGACCATCCTGAGCCAAGAAGAGGAGGATTCGCTGGAAGATATTCTGCTGTTTGCTGCTCGCAACTTCGTGGCTGTGGATCGGGTTCACCTCAGAGACGCGGTGCGACGACTCTGCAACGACGGTCGGCCGATCCCTTGGGATCCAGAGAAGGGAAAGATTGGCTTGCGGGCTTCCTTCGTAGGCACCCACGGGTGGCGGAGCGCTCGACCCGCATCTACGAGGCAAACAGGATCACCGAAGACGAGGAGCCTCGCATGGTGCACTTCTACGAGAGATGGGCAGCTCTCCTCGACAAGGTCAAACCGGAGGCCAACCACGTGCCCAACACGGACGAGACAGGTGAAGATTCGCTCGTAGTTGTTGTTGTTGTTGTTGTTGTTGTTGTTGTTGTTGTTGTTGTTGTTATTTTTCTTCACATTAAACTCGTGTCAATTGCTAATCCCAAAATGTAGCGAAGACTCGGTCCGTGGTCACAAAAATGCTAGAGCCATCAGAAGATCTAAAGAACACACTCACTATTAGCAAGAAAAGGGTTCGCAAGCCCGAGGAGGTACGCCTGCAATCCCTGCAGCACGTTTGCATGCTCTCAACTGAACTACACGCCCACACACTACAAAACGACTACAGCAGCGGCATCACCCCCCTTGTCCCGCATTTAACCAAAATGAATGTTTGTCGACTACAGCGTACTGTCTGAAGTGCTGTCTGTAAAATAATAACACCATGGTGCATGGTACACAAGGTAGGGGCATGGAGCTGCTGTCTGAAGTGCCGTCAGAATGAGTCCGTGGACATACAATGAAGAAGAACGCCCAACCAAAGCCATCATTGCAATCAACAATCACCCGAACCTATCCAGATCATCTGTGTTGGGCACAGCAGTGTAAACATCGACACTGACTAGGAATCGTTCCACATTGAA